TTAGTGATGAAAAGCAACCGTGCGTGTAAGAAACTTTGTGCTACCGAAAATTTCCCCTCTGGAAACTTTCTCCCCGTAAAGGACTTCACCACAGTTTTTTTTACTGGATATACTGATATCGATGGTTTTACAGCACTATTGGGACGAGTGCAATATGGCCGTTTTCACCATCTCTGGTTGACACTAATCTCCAGTTAAACATCGTTACCGACGTTATCGACCCACTGTTATATGTATGGAGTCAGTAACGTCGGTAACGATGTTTAACTGGAGATTAGTGTTAAACAGAGATGGTGAAAACGGCCCTATGAGTCAAATATATTCTATGGAGGCATTCCAAAGAACTATGCAAGATTTAAACAGAAACAACCGACTCTTATACCATGTTCTGACCGACAACGAAAACACTTTGAAAACGTGTTTTGGGATTGTGGGCTGAAGGCTGTTCACACCGGCTGTTAATGTTTTCGTTGACATTTCTTACATCCTATGATTACAGTTTTGCTACACAAAAACATAACCAAAATGCTTTTCCCTAAATTTCTTTTCATTAGTAACCTCTTACTTTCATCTTATTTTACTTTTGCCAGCTAATTAACAATAAATCCGAAATGGCGTATTAAAGATGATAAAATATGATCTCCACTTCGATAAATAATCGAAAAAAAACTAGTGAAAACACCGATTGGAATGAGTGGAACGTGAGTTTTCAAGTAGTTTTCAGCGAAAACTGGTTTTCGTTTGACAGATTTTACATGGACGAAAACACAAGTTTTAAGTCGAAAACCAGTTTTAGCAACGAAAACATGTTTTCGATGTCGGTCAGAGCATGGTTTTAGGTGATGCTGTACTGTACTTTACTACTATCTGCTTATTTCTGCAATATCTGCGTACTTTCAAATCAATTACTGGATATTGGAAACGGTAAAATCGAACTGCATCCAAATACGCAATGTGTCGAATTACTAGACTATTTCTGCTCTGTTGTTCATTCAAAAAACGAACTAATTGGGAGTGTATTTCTAGATGTTCTTAATAATTACTTGGCTCAGTAATCGCGCAATTTTAGCAGCCAAAAATGCCGATGTTGACGAACTTAACTGTCAAATACAACATTTTTTGCCAGTCGATCTGATGACTTTTAAGTAAAACGACACCATTGTTGATGATAACGAGGCCGTCAATTTTCCGATTGAATTTTTGAATTCTTCGTCTCTTGAACGTCTTCTGAAAAATGGTTCACCAGTCATCCTTTATCGTAACTTAAATCCACCAAAGAATCTACAATACATTTGAAAAGGCATTTCCGATAAGTTTGGCTTTCGCGATGAAAATAAATAAGTCGCAAGGGCAGACAATGGCTGTTTGACAGAATTGAATTATTTATTTGAAAAGTATTTTCTTTTATACAAATGTTATTTATACCTAATTACACTAATACTTACAAACTAAATGTACATAATTTCATATATACAAGTCAGCATATTTCAGTGACCTACATATGACTGATTGACTAATATAAACCAATATGTAACATGAGTGCAGCAATGCAAGAACTCAAGCTGAGTTCAAATGAATATATGGGTTATTAATAATTTGCTGCGTGTGTGGTCTGCATATGTGTTATATGTATATATTGGACAATTGGATATAGTGAAAGTGAAACGGATTTCAAATGCATGTTACATCTCCCATTTTTTTGAGAATGGCCATGGATAATTTGTGCACCAATGATCCATGGCTATTCTTTACTGAATTTCAATTGTCTTTCTAAGTTATGACATAATGGTAACTTGATGTCGCAAAAAAAAATTTGTTGGTTTATGTAGTTTTTTTTTTTATTTTTGTTTGTTTACGTACATATGTACCCATTATGCTGACTTTGTTTTTTCATTCTTTACATTTTTTAGAAATTAAATTAATTTTTTTTGTTATGAGTACTTAGTAAGAGTTATAAGTAAATTGGAATGTTTTTGTTTATTTAAGTGTTTGATATTATTGATTTAAAGTCATAGTATTTTAAGCCTTTTCTTGTGAACTATTATTTCCTTATCTTTATTTTTTCTATCGCTACTTTCTATTCTATGATGAACTACAGTAAAATTGTTATTTTTATCAATGTTCTTTACTCTATAGGGTGCCTTATACTTACTATCTAACTTATGACCTGCTTCATCTTTAACTAATACTAAATCTCCTATATTTATTTCCTTACTGGGGCTATTTATATCATAATTGATTTTTTGTTTTTCTTGGTTTCTTGTACTAACTTCTTAGCTCTTTGTTGTGCTATTTGTAGCCTATATTTAATTTCTTTGTCATACGCCTCATGGTTATATACTGGGCTAATGACACTTTCTTGTAAAAATTCGTAAGTCCAGGGTGTTTTTCCAAAAACTAATTCAAAGGGGCAATAGCCGTGAACTGTGGATGGTGTCGTATTGTAGCAATACGAAAAATATCTGAGATACTCATCCAAATCAGTTTTGTCAATGGATATGTAAGTACGCATGTATTCATTAAATGTTCTATGACTGCGTTCGACAGTGCCCAGCGTTTGATGGTGGTAAGGTGTTGAGGTTTTATGCTCAATTTTGAGAAGTTTGCACAGTTCCTCAATTAAACTGTTTTTATATTCGGTTCCCATATCCGTTATGATCGTTTTCATACAACCATAAATCAGAAAAAAATGCTCGAATACAGCTTTAGCAACTGCTACAGCATGTTTGCTCTGAACTGACACTGTAACTAGGTATTTAGTTAAGTCACATATAATAGTAACAGCGTATTCATTTCCGTGTATCGATTTCGGTAATGGTCCGATTGTATCGATTTGTACAATATCAAAGGCCTTCGGAGGTGTCTCCGTTATTGTCATTGGTTCCTTGATATGTCTATTAATTTTATTTGTTTTACAATGGATGCAATTTTTTACGTATTTTCTTATGTCATTTTTCATGTTTTTCCAGCTGAACTTCTGTTTGATCTTGTTTGTCATGCGATTTATTCCTGGGTGGCCACCAAAAACAGGATCGTCATGATATTTATGCATAATTTCTTTAATTTTGGCGACATTTGTCACATGCACAACTTCTGGGGTTAATGCAATTGTTAAATTTTTGAGAACCTTGGTACCTACTTCTATAAATTTGCCTACTCGAGTATAATTATATTCAAACAATTTGTCCCCTAAGGACAACTGTATCTTTACAAGTCCTAGATTGCCGGCTTGTTTTGCAAGCCTGGTAAAGAATTGTCCGAAGTCAATCTTATCCTCAACAATTAGGTTGCTTGTATCTATAGTGCTACAAATTTGCTTTCCTTTTTTAAAATATAATTTCGGAGGATCGAAAACGAGCTCGACATGTCTTTTTACTTCAAATTTATTTAGCGCTTCATATATTATAGGGTTCTCTTTGTGACTTTTAATTTCTTTTTTGCTATTATTATTACTGGCTGGTTTTCTAATTTCTGATCTTGTGGTAACTTTTAGTATTTTGCTTGCTTCCACTGACATTTCTTTAAGGTTTGTAATATTGATTCGGGATAGTGCGTCTGCTACATAATTTTATTTTCCTGCTATGTACTCTACTTCAAAGTCATATTCTTCCAAATCTAATCTAACTTTTGTTAATTTTGATGAGGGGCTCTTCATCGAGAAAAGGTATGTTAAAGGTCGATGGTCCGTTTTAATTAAAAATTTTCTGCCATAAACGTATGGTCTGAAATAAGATTTGGACTAATTAATGCCTTCTTCAAATATTCAAAAGCATGTTGGCATTCTTCTGTCCAATCGTAGGGAACATTCTTCTTGCAAAGTCTAGTTAAAATTCTTGAATGTTCTGTGAAATTTGGTACGAATCTTCGGTAATAATTACAGAATGCAACGAATCGTTTGACTTCTTCCGCATTTCGGGGTGTTGGGTAATTTTGAACAATTTCGAATTTATTTGGATCTGGTAGGATTCCTTTACTTGTGCACCGGTGTCCCAGATAGGTAACTTCTTGACTAAAAAATAAACATTTATCGGGATGCAGCTTTAAATTATATTTTCTGCAAGTTGAGAACACATCTTGTAAATTTTTCATCATGTGATTTTCGGAACCTAATACTACTAAATCATCCATGTATAAAAATGCTTGTGAAGGTTGCAGACCTGCGAACGCTAAAGTCATCATTCTTTGAAACGAATTGGGGGCTACTTTTAGGCCATATGGTAATCTTTTAAATCGGTATGTACCATCGTCTGCTGTAAACGATGTTATATCTCTGGAGTCTGAGTCTAATTCTATTTGGTGAAAACCTGACATTAGGTCCAGGCATGAAAAATATTTTGCTCTTCCTAATTGATCTAGAATGTCGTCGATTCTTGGAAGTAGAAATTTATCTGCTGCTAATTTTTTATTTACCTGTCTATAATCAATGACTAATCTCCATCTTTTTTCTGTATTTCCTGGTAATGACTTTTTGGGTACTAATAAAATTGGGCTGTTGTATTCTGACATAGATCGTTTATTATATCATCTTTGATTAATTTGTTGATTTGTTTACTTATTTCACCTTTGTGTGCTTGTGGTAATCTGTGATTTTTTATATAGACTGGGTTGTCAGCTTTCATACGTAATTTTTGTTTATTAAAAATTATTAGAAGATATGGGTTCTGCTTCTGATGCAAATATGTCTATGTATTCTGAACATAATGTCGTTAATTGTTGGCTAGCAAATTGTGGGAAATTCTTAACTAATCTTTTTAATTTTTCTTTGTTATTATTTTTATTTTCTGTTGTTTCTTGGATTAACATGTAATTATTTAAATTGTCTGTTTTGATATTGTAATGCTGAATACTTGCGTTTTTATCTGTGGTATTAATGATTCTAACAAAAGTTTGGTCTTTATTTGTATTTGTATTTGCTATGAAAATACCTTCAGCTAATTTCTGATGGGGAATAAAAAGTGCCGAATTATTAGTCTTTACGTTGATTTGCCGAATTACTTCAGACCTAGCGGGGATTGTAATTGTATTAATAGCTGGTCTATTTGTCATATGGATTATTATCTGTCTTCATTTTTGCCATAATCTATAATGCAATTATATTTCTTTTATAAAATCTAAACCTATAATTCCATCACACGGGATTGGGAAATTATCTTCTACTATGTGAAATTTGAGTTGAATTAATAGATCGTCTTCTTTCAAGTCTGTTGTGACCGTACCTAGTGTGCTTGTTATTCCTTGACCAATGCCTTTCAAATCAGTAATCTGTGAAGTATTAATGGTGATATTGCTATCAATTTGTCCCTTTTTTATAATAGATATATCTGATCCTGTGTCTATCAAGAGAGTTGAAATACTGTTATTTAGAGAAGTTTTGGTAGATATGTAGCTGTTTAGGTGTAAATTAAGTACACGTACTCTTTTGTTATTTACTGTTGAAGTAGAGTTTGCTGGTTTTCCTGCTGGGTGCAATTACGTACATTGCGAGTCTGTATAAAATTTCTGTTTCTGTTTTGAGTTGATGATCCTCTTTGCGAGTTGTTATTTTGTCTAAAATTGATGTTGTATCGGGGCTGTGGTCTAAATCTTCTACCTTGATAACTTCCGTAGCTGCTATTTCGGTGACCACTGCGAAAATTACCACGGTATTGATTTTGTTGTCGTATGCTCAGGATTGTATTTGAACTACCCGTTATCTCTGTGCAGCTATTGGTGAATTTAGAGATGGCATCATTCATTGATGTAAATGTGCCAGCTTGCATTATCATTTTTACTTTTTCGTTGGAGCAATTCTTGCACATAGCTTTGACAGCCGCCTGTGTTGAATATCTGGTGGCTAAGTCTGGGTTTAGTCCATCCGAGATATATGCTCCTTCTAGTGACCTGGTAATTTTTTCTATTTCTGTAGTATACTGATTTGCGGTTTTACTACGTTGTTGTACGTTCAGGAGTTTTGCTGTCAAAACTTCTACTGATTCGCCTTTAATAGTAGATTTCAATTTTGACTTAATTTCTGGAATTGAATTCTCATTACTTATGTAATTTCTTGCTGTACCTTTTATCTTGGTTTTTATCATAGTTGTCGCCAGAGCTTCATGATTATCTTTGATTTGTTCCAAGATATCAAGAGCGTCTAGAAAGCTGTGCAGATTTTCCAACTTACCATCAAACTCTGGTAGCACTGATGAGGCTGTCTTAATGAATTCTACTGTTGATTGTGCCATTTTGACGTTTCCTATTTGCAAAGTTTTTGTTTGATTTTCAATTTTCTTGTCTTCTTCTAAATCGGATGAGTTCTCCAATAGGAAGATATTGAAGTCTATTTGTATTTCTTGTTCGAATGAGGTTGGGATGGTTACCTCAATATTATATCTTGCTAGTGAGGATACTAATTTGTCTCTAACAGTTGAAAATATTTGGTTTGCTTCTATTTGGTGACTGCTAGTTAATTGGTTATTACGTACGGCCTTTCCTAATTTATTCAGTGAATCTAATATTGTCGTGAGGTGCTTCAACACAGTTTCATTTTTTATTTTTATGTTTTTGTTTATACACTTGTAGGATTTTTCTGCGGAAGCTTTTTCTTCTATAAGTGTCTGATAAAGTTCTTCCCATTTGCCCATTTATTGCAATGCTGACAGGGAAGCGAGCGTAAAATTGGAGTTTTAGATACGCTCTTGGACGTTATTTAGTCTTCTTAATTTGTTTTTAATATAACTCTTCAATTTTAGGGCTACTGCGATGATCAATAGCATGAGTATGCAAGCGAAACCACTTAACCAAATATCTGGATTATTTGAAACTTTGTTTGTTTCTACCTCCGCCGGTGGTTCGTATCTAACTATCCTATTGTCTGTGTTTTCTGATGTTTCCTTTCCTATTTCATATCCCGTAATGGCTATCAGAATGCTATTTGCTATCTTTTCCCACCACGACATTTTGCATAGAATAGGAAGTTTTCGGAAATTAAAATTTTAAATTTTTAAATTTTATTTATTTATTTATTGCTCAATTAATGCCTATTTGGAAAATATTTTTCTAACATTAACATTATTTGTTTTTCTTGGGTTGATGAATTTTTTACGTCTTCCATGGTAGGTTCTCTGTCCATACCAATGGAATTCCAAAATTCCCTTAACCAAATTAATTCCCTTTCGTAATCTCTAGTTTCTAGTTCTAATGTTGCATTTTCATCCCACTTGATGGGATTTTTTGTAAAATCTTGTGGCATTCCAATTTGCTTTTAATTTTTATTTCTCTTCTCTTAAATTTCTAATTAATTTTCTTAGATTAAGTCTTTCTTCGGTATCTGTTGAAAGATTTAACAATCTATAAGTTTCGGCTATTTGTTTCTTTTTTTTTGAACTGTTTGCCTCCCCGCTTTTGTTTCTGTCTTTTTACCGGGGTAGGTATTTTTAATATTTCTTTTTTGTTAAGCTTATTTCTACGCCGATATTCTTCTATGGTTATCGGTGTCGGGCCTTGTTTCACCACTGTGGAGGTGCTGAGGACCTCTTCAGTGTCTTTTATTAAAGCTTTTAATTTTTCTTCATACTTTTCGAAGATTTCATGAAATTGTTTTTCAGTTCTGTCTGACATAACTGAAAAATAGCTGAAACTTATATATTTTTTTTCAAATTTTCTTAATTTACGGAAAAAAAAATTCCTAAGCAGAAACCAAAGGATTTCTGCTACTTGGTTAGCTACCGTGAGGTTCGCCAAATTTCATTCTACTTATACTAGATTAGTATTCTACCCGGTTTCGTGCTGCCAGTCATTTATTGCTGCCAGTCATGGTTAAACGGTTTTTATCCTTTTGTATTCCACCCTGTTTTGATGTCGCACCGGGATCCCTGTGGAGTTGGGTACTAGGCTTTCTGCTGTTTTGGGAACTAGCAGGATATTTTGTCTGCCGGGACATTTTGACAGCCGTTTGTGGCAAATTGTTTCTTAAATTCTGCTTGGCAGGATCTAAAATTTATCCTTACGTTAAAAAATTTATAGTTGAATTGGCATGATCGTGTAATTTCTATTTATGCGATTTAATGTTCTTTAGCAGTCTGCTTTAAAAGAGCAGTCTGCTTATTTTGAACAGAGCTGGCAGGATCGCCATGTGGGTCTAAATAACACAAACGACAAATTTGTTGGTGCAATGGTGGAATTATACCAGGTGAAGTAATATTAGAGTGAGAAGAAATATTTTGGCACTGCCTTATTTGAAAACATGCCTATAAAATGTGACTATAAGACAGCCGAATGTCAGAAAATAAAGCGAGAAAGCTGTTTTATTACTTGCGCCATGGTTCCATGCAAACATTTTAAGGTTTTCCAGCAATGTTTTCAACATATTAAAAACCATGCAGATAAAATTCATACAAAAGCGTTATTAAAGACGACTCTTTTCCTATTTTGTTAGACTTTTCATAAGTATAAATATTTTGTGAATATTACTTTCTTCATATGAATTATATCACATTTTTTGTTTAATTGTATTTTTGAAATAAACAAAGTTCTTTGTCCTTCTGTCATACTACGTTTATACGTAAGCTATTTGCAAATAAAAATAATTTGCAAATACCTAACTCATTGTTTATTCGATGGTGAAAAAGTTTTTAATATTGCCTTATTATAAAAAGGCAATAACATGACCATCGAAAAGGAAAATAAAGTTAAAAATGGCAACGTCTTGATTATAAAAAGGCAATAAGATGACCATCGAAAAAGAAAATAAACCTAAGAATGACGGAGCCTTGCGCTTATTTGCAAATAGTGCCACTAATCGATACTTATTTGCAAATAAAAAATGCTTGTGTGTAAGGCATAGGGCCGTTTTCACAGTCCTTAGTTAACCAATAGATTAATGTTAA